AAAACCCTCCCCAAATTTTTCTTTGCAGCATATCATGCCTTGTTTCAAAGTGGTTACCACCCCTCAGAATGGAAGGAGGCCATTGGAATTATTATTCCCAAGAGGAATAAGAAAGACTATACTGCACCAAAGGCCTACAGGCCCATCTCTTTACTACCTTGTATGTCAAAATTATTGGAGAAGATTTTTGCCAACAGACTTTCCTTTCTAGCCAACACATCAGATGACCTACTTGACCCAAGTCAAATGGGAGGACGAAAACAGAGATCTGCTATTGATGCTGCCCTGTTATTACAAGCATTTGTTCAGGAAAATCATGCTAAAAAAAGAATTACCAGTACAGTATTCCTTGATATCATGGGAGCTTTTGATAGACTTGATCCACACCAGCTTCTCAAGATCTTGGATAAACTTGGACTGCCAATTATTTTCATCACTTGGTGCAAGTCATTTCTGAACCAACGCCAAATACAACTCTCATTTAATGGACAATTAAGTAAATCTTATCAAGTAACAGGTACACCTCAGGGTAGTCCAATTTCACCAATTTTATTTCTCATTTCTATCAGATATCTTTTGCCAGAAATCAAGAGCAAAAATTTTCTACAGCTATCTTATGTAGATGATATTTCTATCTCTACAGCATCAACTTCCATAACTAAGAATGCAAAGTTCCTAGAAAATTGCACTACCAATCTACTTCAAAAAGCTCAAGAACTAAAGATCATCTTTGAAGTTGAGAAATCCGAGCTTATACACTTTAACCGACAACGGAATCCTGATGCTGTTCCCATCCACGTCCTTGACACCATTTTGATGCCAAAAGAGGTTGTAAGATGGCTTGGAATCTGGTTTGATCGGAAACTAAACTTCAAAGTACATGTTGAAAAGCGTATCCAACTTGGAAATGCAGTCTGGGAAAGGCTGAAGAATCTATCCATGCCCTCTAGGGGAATGAATTTAAATAATCTGAGGCAACTTTATCTATCATGTGTAACCTCAGTTATTGATTATGGATCTGTCCTTTGGTTCAATCAAATTGGATCTTCCACACTAACTTCAAAATATGACAAGCTACAAAGCAGAGCACTGGTTGCAATTACAGGAGCATTTCCTCAAGCCCCTAGAAAAGCATTGGAGGTAGAGGCAGCTATTCTCCCTTCAAAAATACGTCACCTCAAACACGCCAGTCTCTATGCTCTCCGTATCCTCCGGCTCCAAAAGACTCATCTCATCCCAAAAAACCTCTACAGCCAACTTGAGGATGAGCTAAATCTAACCAATGAGCAGGATCCAAGGATCTTAAAAGAAATAACTAACTACTCATCACAACTAGCCAGGTTTAGCAAGCTATTAACTAACCTTACAATTAACCATAGATTGGAAGCCAGTGACAATGAATGGAACCCTCCCTGGTTAAAGTCATCAATTAAAGTCAATATCTCTTCATCCTCAAAAGGAGAAGCAGTAACAGAACACAACCAACTATTCAATCAAATCCCAGTATCAGCAACAAAGATTTATACTGATGGATCACTAACTGAAGGGAAGGGAAGCAGCATTGGATATGTGATCTATCCTCCCAATGCCGGACCTATCAAGTGTTTCTCGGCCAATCTTGGCCATGAGATGGGGATAATAGATGCCGAATCCTTCAGCATTCTAAAAGCTATCAGACATGCTAAGAAATTGTCAAATTCAACAACAATATATATCTTTTCTGACAGCCAAGCAGCACTTTTAAGGATACAAAATGGCTCAAATTTATTCTCTCACCAAATCCGGAAAAATGGAATTGGTAATAATATCATACTTACATGGTGTCCAGGACATATGGAAATTGAAGGAAATATGCTGGCTGACACTCTTGCAAAGAGAGCTTCAAGTCAGCATGCAACTAAGCATTATCAATATACCTCTTATAGTTTCCTTAAACAAGAAGTGCACACATCTATCAAAAATGCCTGGTCTAAAGACTGGGCTACACAACAAAAGCTTGAAGATAATGGCAGGAGATCAAAGGGGCTAGGCAAGTTCTACAGAGCTCATATGAAGTGTTCTATCCCAGATCTCAAGTTCAAACCATTTAACTTTACTAAATTCAGCCGAAAGGCTCAGTCATCATATATTCAGGTAAGAACTGGGATAGGAAACAACCTGACCTATTTGAAAAAGATAGGAAAAAGTGAGACAGATTTGTGCAACTTTTGCTCAAATAGTATTCAGACAACAAGTCATCTAATTTTACACTGCTCAAAATTTAAAAGGCAGAGACAAGAACACTTTAAAGACTTGAAACCACTTGTACTTAAGATATTATTCAACACAAATGTGGGGAAAACTGCACTATTAAGATATCTCTCCTCAACTGGCTGTTTCTATGGGGGCAAAGATGAGGAGGATGGAAATTAAATGAATCTTGAAACCAACAACATGCTCTATTAAAGATATTTAAAAAAAAAAAAAAATTTACATCTGTTTATATTTAGGGGAAATGGGAGTATATGTCAATGTATATCAAAATGTAATCAGTGTCATAGCTAGATAGGCTGCATACACTTAATGATTTAAAAAAAAAAAAAAAAAAAAAAAAAAAAAAAAAGATCGCTCGTACGCTCTATGACCTACGCTTGAGGAAAGGAAAATTCTCCTTTCACTTCTTCGCTTGTCGGCTCGGTCTCGCTCTCGCGGTGGATTTTAACATAAAAAGCCAGAAATTCCATGGACTCTTGGCTCTCCTCTTGGCTCTCCTCTTGGCTCTCCTCTTGGGGCCACAGCCTTTGACAAACGGCTTCATGATACCATTATTTCGAAACGATGCAACGACGACACTAGCTAGCACTCCAACCTCTTAATCATTGACAGGCACTAGCTAGAGCTCATATTGGTCTAGGTGACGGATAATTTTCCTCGTGACATAAACATCCTCAGTACTACCCTGGAAACAAAAGTCGCAGTTGAAGAGCACATTTTATCTCTTTTGATAATTCGGGATACACAGCAGGTCGGCTTTGACCCATTTACTACATGTCGGGTGGTTCATGTAGATTAAACTGGCACAATGTTACAAGGAAAATAGAGGCCACTACATCAGAAGCTTAATCTTCGGTTTTCACTCGCACTTCTGACCTCTACAGCTAGGGACACGGCAATGATGGAGCAATACCGAAGAGTTTCACAGATTTAAAGCTTTCCCACATGAAAATATAGATGGGTAAATGAAAGGGCTGATACAGTACAGAATCAAAAGAGGACCAGAATAGAGAAGATATTGCTGGACGACGGTATAAGGCCTTGTATAGTGAAGATATGCGCATAACAACGTTAACATCTGGCCTCTTGGCCAGTCGAGCTCGACATAATCTAATACATGGGTAATGATTAACGTGGCCTGGCCATTTGCGGAGCTTCAGATATGCTTCTTACGTTAACTGGATAAAGTACAAGCATAATCGCCGCTAAATATGTCATGAATGTGATTAATCTAGTACTTTTATTACAGAGCAAAAAACCAACAATAGTTGGCCATGCTAAAAGTACTATGAAAGCCAGGAAACCTCGGCTAAAATTTGACGTCTATTATAATCTAGTCACAACTCTTGCCACTAACTGCATCTCCATCAACCATAAAAATATTCTGAAAAAATATGTCCTCTCATAGGGTCCATGTACGTTGTGAGGTATATCAGTTATTGCACATTTGTCTCATACGAGCTCCGTTCCAGATCTCCAAAGTGTTGCAATGAATAGAAACTTATTTGTTCGTAGGTGATGTAAATAGCAGATGCAGAAATGGTTTGCCTAATCATGATACAACCAGCTATAGATGAGCCTTGAAGAGTGTCTAGCTTACAGACACTCAAACATGCGTCAAATTGATCAAACATCGCCATATCTTCCAATCGTCTCGACAATTCTCAACCCCCAGCAAGCTAGAGCTTTAGGGTACAAGAAATTGGTGCTTATTATCTCTGGATAAGTAATTATACCAGATCGCAGCAGGTAGCGGGGTTGATATTTGATATAGCGATTTCCGTCTCCCGACACTAAGGTGTAGGTAGGCAGAGACAAGATAGTTTCGAATCATGTCTTGAATCTAGTAGAACAAATCTGTTCTCTATATTTCAATGCTCTTACTATTAGATATGGAGTTCAAGGTGTCTAGATGACTACTCATCTAACATACTTTGACCGCAATACGCAGAGGATTTCAAAGCAAATTACTAGGCCCTAATGTTTGCCAACAAGCTTGATCTTACGTGAACCTTATGTAACCAAGTTCTAGATCCAAATTTCTCCCATACTATGGTTTTCAGACCTCGTCATGTCAAACCAATGCTTGGTGACGACCGACAGCGCTTGCCAAGTTTTTTTTCTTTTTTTTTCAGTGTACTCAGCTATGGGAAGCTTACCAACCTGTGACTGTGGCTCAAATACTAATAAATCAGATATCGCCTTTGGGTTTATTACGTTGTATATATTGTATTGCTTACTAGCTAGAAGATGAAGTTGTAACAGCTGAAACTATATTAAACAACCAAGCTTGCTCCGAATACTCAGGAAGAAATATTCCTTGAGTTTGTCCTGGATGTTAATCTCCCAGGGATGCGAAGCGAGAGTATACACCAGAATTAGATTCCGATTCGGCACGCCAAACTTTACAGACTGTTTAGAGTACTGGATGTGATGTAAGCTAGCGACATATTCACTCGATCATAACCGATATTATAAACCTTGCACACGTAAAGTATACACAAAAACAAAGCGGCGAGGTGGGAAAGCAGATAAATACCCTAGAAATAAGTTTTCATATGGCCACCTCAAGATGAATTTATGAGGGAAATATCAAAGTTGGCACTAAAGTAAAAATAATTGGAGCCGAATCTGAGATAAAAGCTTTGATGGTATTTGTTATACAACGAAAACATTATTTTACGCTTCCCTATTAAATTACACTTCTAGGATTTTTCTAGGTTTCCGAGACACAAACATAGCCACGTTTACAAATCTTCATCATCTGTAAAGTACTCGAATTCTTTCGGACATACTGCCTCTTCAGCACTCTCATCATCTTCATCAACAAAATAATGGGTGCCTGACTCAGTCGCAGGTCCAGACCCAGCGGCATAAGATTCATCAGAGCCTTGTATGCCTTGCCGTCCGTCAGAATATGGCTGAATAGCATACTCTGTATTTCGAGCTACCCCTGACATTTGACGGTCAACGTTGCGACGAAGCGATAAGGGTTCATCGCGGATATCTTCTGGCATGTAAGAGCCAGTCGTTTTATCAATATTTGGTTTTTTAAGTTTTTCCTCGAGCAAAATCTTTTCGGTATCTGGCTGCGTGTCGATCATGAGGATTACACCACCAGTTGGTTTCTTAACGGGACGGTAGCGGCCTGTTGGAAAACTAATGAATTTGACTTGAGCTGGGAGTACGCGAGACATATTGTCTATCTCATATCCAATTTTTTCACGCTCAAACTTTTTCTTGGCAATCTCAGCAGGCGAAACTTCCTTCTCACCATCATCTTTCTTGTAGATCTTGGATTTTTTGTCTTTTGTTACTTCATCAACATCCATTCTATCATCCATTGCCGCAGGGACTGTTGACTTTGGTGTAAGGGGGACCTGATCTATATCCATACTTTCCCGTCTTTGTGCACGCTCTTTTTTCTGAGCTCTCCGCTTGGCTTGTGCCGTGGTAGACAGTACAGCTGTTGCTATCATTGTTGGAGCTTCATCTGTTTTGATTTCTTGCTCTGGTGTATAATCAAATAAGCTTGGCCGAGTTGCACTATAAAATTTGAAGTCTGGAATGTCAAGCTCATGATCTAGACAAACCATGGACGTAGGTATGAAGGATAAGGAGAGGAAGTGGGTGAACGGAAACCAATACCAGTACTGTGTAAAGACAGCCATTCCAACAATACCTGCCATATTCAGGTTCCCCGTCTGAGTTTGGAGCCCAATAGTACAATTTCTTCCGCCAGCATCAATGATACCCAGTGCTAACGCACAACCAAACTTGGTCATGGCGTCTTCATGCCGATCTCCGACAATCTTTTTGAGGGTTTTACGGATAGAGGCGACTTTCGGATTCATAACCTCATTTTGTTGAACCATAATCATGGCAAGAGAAATAAGGGCACCTTGTCGAACAAAGTCTGTAGGATCCTTTATCATTGGTTCCAAAAGATCAATGGCTTCGTCAAGGCCAGTACCAGCACAGGAAATCCCAAGTGCCATGGCTGCACCATATCGAACATGTGGGTTGTATGATTCTGACAATAGCTCAACCATGCGTGGAACACCTCCAGGCTTACGGAATAAAATGAATCCCAAACTCATGACTGCGATTCTACGGACATCATCATTCACATCGCTTACTGCAATGTGAAGTAGCTTACGGACAGCCTTGTTGTTGCCAGTGCCACAATACGCCATAGCTACAGTCATGATTCCTCCGTACCGCAAGGTGGGATCAGGCTCATTGAGTAGACCTTCAATCAATTCATCTGCACCTTCTTGGCGTCCGTACATTATCAAAGCCATCCCCACAGCGAGGCCACGCACGATTTTTTCATGCTGAGTGTCGTGAGCGTAGGTGATCATATCTTCTAAGGCTTTCATGTTCCCAGTGCCAAGCATGATAAGTCCCATTGCTAGGCCTATAGCCTCACCATTTAGTGCTGAATCTGTGTACAGAACATGTCTGAGGTTGATATATATATCTTCAGATCCAGTGGCCATTCCAGCAATTCCAAGTCCTAGAGCGCCACCGTGCTGTATTATTTCTTCCTGAGCTTTGGAGAATTGATCTTGTAAGTATTCCAATGCATCAGAGCCGTGATTAGCATGAATCAGCCCATAAGCGTAGAGCGCACCGCCTTGGCTAAATATAGATCCACCAAGGGCTGTAGATCGTGGAAGATACGGCTCAAGTAGCTTTTTACATTGCGAAATATTTCCTCGATGTATTACCCCTAATGCAGCGGTAGCAGAAAATTTAGACCAATTGACAGCTTTTCCTAACCATTCTAAATTATCACGGAAGAATTTGTCATTTGTGGTCCCCTGATTCATGAAGGCATTGCAGAATGTGACAGCAGTGTGAAATATTGAGTTGCGACCTTCCAAACTGTCACGTACTTTATTTAATATACTTATATCAGTACGATTATTACGGTAAAGAAACTCCAAGTTTAACTTGATTGTTTCACTGCCGTCAAGTATTTTTCGTATTCGATCAAACGTATAATACTGAGTTTCCGTGTAATTCTCAAGTGGCTTAATTTTTGTGGCTTGAGAAGGCATACCATTCGTTAGAGGATCAGTCTCGTTAGCTAGGGGAATGTGAGCTTGTTTAATTATTTGTCTAGATCACTCACGCTCGGTTTCTTCTACCCCAGGTTCTTTAACCTCTGCTGGTATATCACGAATTACTTTTGCCAAGAATTCCTGAGTACCATTATCGTATAGATCAAAAGCTATCTGGTATGCAGTAGCAGTTGAAGCTACATTTTGGTGTCCCTGCGTCTGGCATATTAGTTGCAGCAAATGTATGACTGACTACGTTGTCCTTACCACTAAGTCTCTTAACAGTCTCGACGCCTCTTCATCCTGATTTAGGAATACGGCACATTTTGCGATCGAAAAGTGATCGGGAGCAGGTATTTCATTCAGCATATCCAAGATTAACCGAAGAATCTCTGTCCGAAAAGCTCTTTCCTGGACAACGTCCATGCATATTTCGAGTATGTATTCCATTAGTCCCTCTGTAGAGTATTGGCTGCCTTCAACAAAATTTTCCTTCAATTTCTTATCATCTTCACTTGCGCGTCTAATTACCTGTCGTATTACCTTAAGGTTGTATGCCTCTATGGCGATTCCGACTACTTGCTTATACCTCCCTTCTGACAAACATCTCTCAAATATTCGCTCGATAATCCCCAGGAGAGCAGACTTTGTTTCAATATTGAGAGTCTGGCTTGGTTTATCCTTGCCATCCGAAACTACTGATTGCACGTTTTTTTGCACAGAGCCTCTGGATAGGAGCGACTTGGAGGGGATAGTTGAGTGAGAAAATGGGGTAGTCGGAGATGTGAGTGAGGCTGCAATATTCGCTTCGTTTGCCATCGTTGCAAAAGAGGTCGCGAGAGCTGCATGAGATTTATCTCTAGAAAAAGTAAGAGATGTAGGGTTCTTTATGGCATGCTGTACGGCTGAAATGCTGATATATGTGTCTACACATTTAGAAATTATTGTTTCCTCAAATTCACCTTCATTATCTAGTACAAAGAGGTCGCCAGCACCAAGAGCAAATGTCATACTATCATCATATTCTTGCAGGTGATAGAAAACTTTAGAAAGTACTAGTGCAGCTAGTTGCCGTTCAGGGAATTCTCTATCTTCGTAAAGGGCCTCGCTGTCACAGTCAGCATGACCCCTTTGATCAAGTTGACAACAGCTGTACGTTAGAACTTACATCTGACCTATGTATCCAGCAACTTCTGTCCATACAGCATCAATATCATCATTAAGGGTCTGTAAGGCAAATATCTTGAGCTCGGGTTGTTCGTCGGATAAAAACCCGAGTACTCCTGACGCTGAAGTTAAGCCGGGCATCTTAGCTTAGCAAGACGTTGAATTGTAGGTTATGGTGGAAACAAAATGCAGATTTAACTCCGCAACTGAGATGTACGGAGAGTTTCTGTGTGATTGCAGAAGTGAATATAACGTTAACGAATTGACAACCTTCGTCTAACCTGACATGCAAGGTTGAGCTAGAGAGGTTGATGAAATCGCGCTAAACCATGTTTGGAATTTCATGAGGCTCTGGAAACCAGGTCAAAGGCTAGCACACTATCAATATGATATCTGAAGTATTGATACGCGTGTTCCTGACCAAATAAGATCTCTCGTATTACAGCCGGTTAATTTTTGTATATTAATTCAATAATACTGCGGTCCTCACGTGCGCAAATTTTAACTGAATTCAGACGCTATGTTATGGTATGGATGGCAGGAACTAACAAATGCATGCAATAATGTCTACCTAATCAATTCAACACCTTTTAGATCTGCCATCAACATTTTGTTCCTATTAGTGAGATCTTTTACACTTAATGTCGCCATCATAACTCCTCCATCGCTCGTTAGAATTTCGAGCTCAGTGCTCATCTCTCCCATTATTATCGGCACGCGTTATCTCTCCTTGTTCCTTGCCGTCAGCGTTATCTCCCGGATAAAACATATTAATTCGCCAATTCGATAAAAGGGAACCCGAATCTATTTCACATGTTAGTCGCTAATCTTACAGCCAATATATTTTAGTCAGAGGAATCGTGCGCATAGTCTAATGCCAGGATAAACAACCCCAACATGGACCTCCGTTCCATTATCAACACCGAAGCTGGTGATAATTCCATCCGAAACCGTTCAATACCGGAAACTCCGGATCAGAAGCTACAGGCTCGAAGAGATTCGGATCAAAACGATCCGGCTCATGCATCACCTGATAAATATTTGTCGCATGACTACAGGGTACAAAAGATCACTGCACCACCCACAACTAGAAACTATACACAACAACACCATAGTCAACGACCATCACCACCTCTGATACAAGCTTCTCCTCTTAGGGAATTGAAGTCTCCTTCCAGGTCCTTCTCAGGACAAACCCCATATCTTGACACATCTTCCTCAGCCATAAACCAGTATTTATTTCCGCAAACCAACCAAGAACCACAAACCCCAGAACGACCTCCATTGCAAATAAAAGCATCGTTACACTCAGAAAGCTATCAGCATCAAAATCTGAACTCCAACGAGTATCAAACCTCGGCTGGCCAGACTTCATCTTCATCTCAAAATTCTCTAACTAATGCTTCACAACCTCATCTTCAACACCAACAACCCCATCCATACACAACTATCCCATCCTCCATATCGACCCACAACCAAGCAAATTTGGTTAATTTACAATTAAAAGAATCTCCGAAGGTAGGTGTGAGGCAGTCAGATTTTTCGCATCAAATACTGGCCACGACACCGCTTAGAATATCTCAATCATCATCAACTGGAAATACCACGCAATCTGTGAGTTTCATCGAAAATTTGGCGGTACATTTTTCTTACATTTTATAAATAGAAAGTTTATATCCCTAACTCGGCGCCAACTTCTTTTCAGATATTGCCCAACTCACCCAGTGGCTGTAACTCTCAGAAAATATCCTTAAACAAGAAAAATCAAAGTTCTCAAGAGGAAAGAGAACGCAGTGTAAGTATAAGCCCTAAGACAAGACTTTCGCATCATCAGGACGAATCACTTGCTCAACTCCAAAGCATTGAGGGTACTGATCAAAAATCAAACAAGGTCGAATCAGCAGTAATGGAGACAGTCGAATCTCAATATATAAATGTAGGAATGAGTTCCAAACCATATAGTAAATCAGTTAAATCAGTGAGAAGATCGGTACAACCCATGAGAAAACGCATCCGTTACAGTTCACCACCAGTTTGGGCTCGAAGCATTAGGGGTAGTGACTCATACAGGGCCACTCACAAAAAATCCAGCAAGCACCATGAAACGCAACCAAAACAAGCAGTAATCTCTGTACCTAACGCCTCGCCTTGCACACAGATTACCACCGACGGCGTGTCCAATGGGTCTATGACTACTGCCATTCAGCCTATAACTCCAGTAGCAGATGCACATCCATCCTTGTTTCTAGGAAATTGGGAGGAGTGCATAACTGGCCAAAGGCCATCAGATCACATGTCAAAAGTTGTGGGCGACTTTTTATTCTACAATGTTGTCACACGAAGTGACATCGGTGAATTGTCGAGCCTAGGTGTTCAAATTGAAATCGAAGCAAAATTTGGTGACTTAATTGATAAAGAAACGAATCAGCCTTATTACCTACCTGCCAAATCGGAGTGCGTCCTCTCTGAGAATTCACGTGTTGGCTTTAAAAGTAACTTAACTGAAGTAAGCTAATCGAAATTAATTTCATCCTATACCTAATCTGAACCTAGCATCATCATCAAAAGCTAAACACTTTCCTAAATCGTATGGTTACCAATGCACGACCCGGAAGTTCTGCTACCAAGCCACGAGTTAAAATAGATTATCTTCATCGTCGGGAGGTCGATCAATTTTACGAACTTCCCAAAGCACAGCATAGCATACTACCAGCTGCAATAAGAGAGAGACAAGCTAATTACCACTCTGTTAAAGTTCGGGTGTCCAGAGACCAAAAGACTGGAAAAGTTTTAGCTAAAATTATTAAAAGTCGGGTGGCAGATCTTCATATTTACAGCGCTCAAACTTCTACGCCCGACTGTCGAATTAGCATAAACCTCGAAATGCCATATCATGGAGATATTGACGAATTAAAAGCCGCCGGGAATCATAGAAATCAGAGTCCTAATAGAAGTAAGGATCGATTGAGCTATAGCCAATCGTATTATCAGATCGACCTCACACAAGTCACGCAAGTCGTACCTTCAAACGTAAGCCCTCCCATAAACTCACAAAAATTAACTAATATATACTTAGCAAACTCCACGAGCAGAAAAAGATCATGAACTGGAGGTAGAAATATCAACAGAGGCAGTAATGGAGCAAGGTCAACTTGCGGCCGCTGGAAAGCCAAATGATTACCTTCCGCTAGTAGAAGGATTTTTGAATAACATTCGTGTACTATCAAGGCTTGTCGCTGAATACAAATGAACTATAACCGCATGTTTTGGATAGATTGGTTAGTGATAGAAGAGTTGGTGAATTAGTACCATTGTAATTTAAATACCCTAGGCGTTAATGCAGCGATTAATTTAAAAAGTTTCCTTCAACTTGTCAGGGGCATGGTACCTTACATAAAATGGCTTCCGGTTAGAATTCAGACAAATTCGTGATACAGATCATTACGCGCCATTCAATAGCATTTACATCTGTCAGAAGTATTTTTACCATCGTACCTTGACCAGTGTCTCATGAGAGAAGAATGCGTCGTATCGAAATGCGGCTCTATTGGGCTATTCAATTGCATCGAGATGCTAGTAGGTCATGATTCTCACCTCAATTAAGGAGTCATAAGGAAAATTTATGACTTTTAGAGCCCTCGGCAAGAATGCAATAACACATGATAAAAAACTTCTAGATTAATTATATTACAACGAGTGGTACAATCTTATAGAGTAGATAGCTGCATACGCAATTAAAATCTGATACAAAAAAAATCCCATACAAACCTTTGTTGGGCTAGTGGTCTGTAAACAACTCATAGATCAGGAGTATACTAGGACAAGTTATCTACTACGTGTTACTCAATTTTGTGCTATTGCAATCAAGCCCTTAGCAAAATCTCTACGTTCTAAAGATACAGGACCGGAGAAACCACTAGTGCAATGCATAAGATTTAAAGAAGTGAGAAACAGATTTTTAATAGATATCATACCACTTATTCCAGCAACTCTCTTCCGGACCAAAAGGGGGAAGGAAGCATTGCTAGAATTTCTAAGGACTTCCAAGTGCACAAGTGTATACAAGGGAGATTGATTAGATTGACAACAAGTAGACATTAACATAAGGGATCAAGGGAGATTGATTAGATTGACAACAAGTAGACATTAACATAAGGGATCAAGGGAGAGCAAGACTTAACACCTGTACGCGGTGTCCTCTACGAACCTGGGAGTAAATTATTCTCCCAGAGACAAGTTCAATCACATTTCGCAATATCAAAGAAGTTGGCCCTCGAGGCAATGATTCAATTTACTCCTCCACGTCAATTTTTTACTTCCAAAAAGATCGACTCATACCTAAATCTCATCAATTCTACAAGTACGACTCAGTAAATCCTCATTTCAATGATCACACCTCTTTTCGACTTTCTCTGGCCTCAGCTGGTCACTAAATACACGCTCACGCCGATATATACACCCGACGGAGGAAGCAAAGCGTTGTGCACAGATCTGGGAGAAATTTGTTTGGGATGGACGTTAGAGGAATCAGGACAAGTTCACGAGATGATGCAAAGGAAGGATATAACCTCGATGGGCGCGAAATTTCGAATTTTGGCAAGGAGTTCACCGAACTGGGTTTTGTGCGTGCCAAAGCTTCGGTTGCGAGAATGCAATTGACACTATAAAAACAAGCCGACGATGGAAGGTGTTGTGGTCCGCCTCCTGGTGGTGTTTTCCGGTATGGTTTGAGTAGCCTGAGCATCTACTCTACTTGGGAAGGAGACACATAACACCACAATTCGCGCGGAGAAAAGTTGAAAGATGATGGAGACATGTCGGGATAACTCAGGGTTTTTGAGACGTTTCCCTGGGTGGGTATTCACGGATGAGGGTTGACTTGGGGTGAAGAAAAAGCCGCCATAACTTCGCAGTGGTACTTGCAAATGAAATCTGAGGCATGAGTGCTCTTCCTTTACGTTAAATCATCTATTCTGTACTTTTCTTTGATATGGTATCATAGCTAGATCGCTGCATACGCAATTAAAATCTGATGCAAAAAAAAAGAAAAAAGGATCAAGGGATAGGCGCAAGAAAAGAGTTCAGGATATATTTTGCTTTAAAATATAAATAAATTGCCATAGCTATATAGTTTAGTTTAGTTTAATTTATCGTGCCAGGCTTACACCCTCCATCCAATGGACATGACACGCATGGAGGACATCTAGAATGCAAGTTCCTCCATTCTCCAGCGAAGCCCATCGGGTGCCTGACTTTTCCAAATACGTGCCTCACGCTAGTTACATCGGGTCGAATAGGTAGGAACGCATTCACCATGATTCTAAGTCCATGTATTGAGGGAAAACCTTCGTGAAAAAACCTCAATAACTCCTCCTGAACTCTTTCACGACGAGCAGCCGTAGCCCCCCTTTAAACAGGCCATTTTTTTTAACTCATTTTATTGTCCTGTCTGAGTCTATGACTATGTAGGACATGCAGGTCCTCTCTGCCTACAGGCTGAGGATACCTATACCTGTAGTATATCCCCTCCTATGCCTCCCATACAGCTCCCCTCAAACAGTACCACCCCTCACAAGTCCTCATCGATCATACACTTAGAGGAGCCCTTTGCTCTTCATTATCTCCCCCCTCTAGCCAACGAAGCGATTGCCATTTGCGGGTGTATGGCAGCCGGGAAAAATCGCAAAAAAACCACTGGGTGCGGGGCTCTCCTAATACCGACATTAGAACTAAATCTGAAGATATATTGACCCTCCTGAACCCTTCGAAGAGGTCGGGAAGCTGGGCGCTACAGACTTGTGTATACCTTGGGAAATTCACACTCTGCCTTTCTAGCCTCCTTCCAACTCCTTCCCGAAGGTCGTGTTGAGATGTCAGAAAAGTCTTGACAATGCATGATTGCTGTGTGGCAGCTTAGCCCAACTTCTTTTGTACCGTCCAGGGCGCTGGGGAGTGCCGTTGACTCATCGACAAAAGAAGTCCTCCTGGCTATCTAGCCGAAATCTTAGACTTGGCGCCCACAAAAAAATCCAAAGTTGAAAATCCCTCGAAAATATCAGTCCCAGCATGCTCTTCAGAAACCTGTTCCCTCAATCGCTCCACATCTCAGACGCCTATTGTTCCTCATGTTGTTTGTCCCATTAGAGCAACAGTCTCCCATAAGCCAAGACCCAGGCTTTGTATTTTTGGACTTGATTCCCTCCTTGCGGGTATAAATAGCGTCGGAAATTTGTAGTGAGAGATGGCTGGAGATTAATGGGGCAAGCTCCGATATGCAATTGGAGCAACTTCTTTATTGGTCGTGGAGGCGAGATGATGCATGGTTAGAAATGGGTTGAGGACTCAGATGATAATGATGAGAGGCATTGTCGAGAAGTTGTCAAATGGAGATGTGTTTGAGGTTGCTTCCGACTTCGATTCGGATGCGATTCTTCTTGGTTATCCCAGATATGCAGAGCATACTCAGCGATTAGACCGGCACCACTGTCAAAGCTATATAGCTGAATACAATATGGGAGGGTAAGACTGAACACCTGTATGCGGTGTCCTCTACGAACATGGGAGTTAAAAATTCTGCGAGAGCCAAGTTCAGTCAAATTTCGCAATAACGAACAAGGTGGCCCTCGAGGCAACAATTCAATTTACTCCTCCACGTCGTATTTTCGCTCCTAACGAGTTAGACTCCTACCTAAGTCTCATCAAGTTTACAAGTACGACCTAGTAAATCCTCATTCCAATGACCACACCTCTCGCCGACTTTCTCTGGCCTCAGCCGGTCACCAAATACACGCCCACGCCGATATTTACACCCGACGGAGGAAGCAAAGCGTGGCGCACAAATCTGGGAGACGGTTCATTGGGATTGGCGTGAGAGGATTCAGGACAAGTTCACAAGATGATGCGAAGGATGGATACAGTCTCGATAGGAGTGCAATTTTGAAATTTGGAAAGGAGTTTTTACAAATTGAGCTTCGTGCGTGCCAAGACCTCGGTTGCGAGAGTCCAGGCGACACTATAAACACCGCCATGGCTGGATGATGCGGTGGTACATCGTCTTGGCCGGTCTGCCAAGTAGAGTGGACAGCTTGGACACATATCCCACTTGAGATAGTAGATCGCTGGTTCAAATCCGGCAAAACACAACCACTTTTCACGCGGCGCTGGTATACATGGATGACGAAGGCATGCTTGGATAACCAAAGGTTTCGAAATTCCCTTTGGTGGGTACTAACGGAGGAGGGTCGACTGTTTGTGTAAGCAAATATACCATATAGTGGTATTTGCAAATGAAATCCAGAGTGTGAGTGTCTCTAACGTCAAAAGAGTCATTCCACATGTATACACAGCACCGGTCATGTGTTATAGCTAGATAGCTGAATATACATTAAATAATTTTTAATAAAAGAACCACTAATTGCAAAAAACCGAACGCAGATAAATTTTTCCAATAGCATGCAGTTTTTCCAATATCCGAAACTTAATCAGCCATTATTAACTTGGAAGAGTGTTGTGTGCGCCATGGCTTTGACTGCTGAAAGAGGGACTATTCTCAACACCTGTCGGTGGCGTCCCCTACGATCCTCCAGCTCTCACTGCAGAGTCTGCACTGCCGAGATTGAGTAAAACCTTTTCAACTTTGAGCTGAGTTATCTCCCCCTCCGTCAACTATACGCTTCGGATAACTCACAAGACGACCAAGACTATAAAGACGGTGATAATGATGCTGAAAGTGAGGAAAGATAATGAGGTACCAAACGCTACAAAGGTAGTCAGAGAAGCCCTCGTTGTATCACAACATGTGCTACCCACCGGCGGGCGAACAAAAAGCCCCCGAAAGCAAAGTGAAAAACCCTTCCCCCTCAAGAAAAGCAGATTTCTACTCGTCTACAATATCGTCCCTTCTAATATATACTTCTGAATCTATTTGCCAGGAGGGTACCTGAAATACATGAGTTACCCGACGACCGCACAGCCGTATTATTTTTTGTATGCTAGGCTAGGCTCCTTCAAGACAGTCACTCTGGAACAAGAATTTTCTGACATCCTTTCACAACCTTTGGTTTGCCCTGCAGCTTGAATCAGTGGAGGAGTAAGGAGGAGGCTAGGAAGGTTGAGAGACGCTCTTAGGTATACAAAGGTCTGCTGCGCCCGGCTGGTCGGCCTCTTCGTCATAGGAGAGCCCCGTACCATGTGATTTTCAAGACTTTCCTCTGTAACTACACACCCGCAAATGGCCATAGTTTCGTTGGCCGGAGAAGGTAGATAAAAACGGGTTAATGACTCCTCTGAGTGTGTGCTCGAATGAAGACCTTTGGGGGTATTACTATTAGAAAGAAGTCGTGAAGGAGGCATAGGAGGGTGTCGGTAAATGGATCATATTTGGGCAGTATGAATTGTTATATCTAATTGCGGTATTCAGATTGTCGTTAGGACACTGACAGGGATCTGACTTAGCTCATTAGCGAGGCACTTGGAGTAGAGGGAGAGAAAAAGTTTTATGTATTTCGAGACACCAGTTAATTGATATTATTCACCGACTTCGTGACGGCACCCAATTTGTATTACTTCGTGTTTTACCAATATAGGGAGTGCACTACCCGAGGTATAGATACTCCCGGCCTGTAGGCAGAAAGGACCTACATGTCCTTACATAGTCATAGATTTCATAGGACAATAAGAACATCACAATATACTATCAAAGAGAGTGGAAAAGTACCATCGGAAAGCTTAACATGTGATACCAGCCAATTCAGTCCAAAATATGTGGCTAATAAGGTACAAGTCATGCTTTGTAATGATAGCCGACAGTAGAACAGCTTTCGCAACCATTAAATCTAATCAGTCTAAGAGGGCTGCCGAACCTTTTGAGCTGGTTGGGAAGCTTTAATGATTTAGACTGGAGGTATCTGGAAGATTGGCTCGCACTGGAGGTTTCAATTGAAGTAGATAAAAAGATGTAATCGTCTATCTGTCTTCCTTTTTCTCTTAGCTTATATATCTACATATATCTGATACCTGACATACGATGATAGTATCTAGAATTAGCTTCCTCACATCACAAGACAAAATCCAAACATGTTGTAGCCGAGATATAATCCTAAAACGACTCGATACCAGTCCACCACGTCTGTTACACGGATGCCAAATATTTTCTAGCTGAAAATTACCCAAAACGCCAAGGTTTTCCCTGGGGTAACAAATTATGTCAGGTATCGGCTTAGCATGTTATTCTGAAAATAATGTTACGATCAAGTTCGAAGAATTGAATTTACATGAATTACGAAACAATAAGTCAGGAATCCAGATATCGTCGGGCTCTGATTCTGGTCTGATACGGGCGATAATATACACTGTCCAACACGTATATGATACTTGTGGTAATTGTCAAGGGGAACTATTTCACCTACTCATGTAAACTAAGTTAGTCAGGTCACATGACCTGACTATCAGTACATATACTTCATCTGCAGCATCAGGGCTATCTAGTCAACATTTACAACGTAATACCGTGTCACACGTATCTTTCTTAAGAGTAATGTTAACCCAGTTAAAATTAAATATTATTGAAAATACCCATGTCTGCTTGATACGGTAACCTCACAGGTAGGTCTACATGAATTTACTAGCGAAATTGCGCCTTACTACAGCCATCATGTGATCTCAAAACTAAAGTCTGAAATTTAAATCATAATTGATTTCCATGTCTTCATTCTCTGAATCGTAGTGAATTTTCCCCAAGAGTGTGCCTGAGAACCCTGAGACTCCTTCGCTCCTTGTATATCGGTCACGATCGTGATAATATGATATGCATACATTTTGTATGGCGTCATGTCCCTGCATGAAAAAATAACGTCTAATGATATGAAACAATTGGTTGGCTTCAAATCGTTGTATAATATCTTAGAAATCAAATAAATGGTGAAACCTGACAAGCCGTTAATTATTCATCATGACTTATTATGATCATCGACAAATGGCTGAGTCTTTGTTGTTCAATCAATTCGAATAGTTTTGTCTCACAGTAATTCAAATTGTCCATATAGCAGCGACAAAAGCGAGTAACCATAGGTAAAAGTTAACCTGAAACGTGAAAGTGCTAGATGAGTGTCCAACTTTACTCACTGGTTGATAAACCATAGTTGGCATATGAGATGCTAAAGTTCCATTCCAACAATATCGCTCGTAGCATTTCTTACAAGCTTCTGGAGCTGGCGTTTTTGTTTTGCCAAATGATCGGTTGAGAACTGCGCATGCGACGCAGGTGGGCCAATGAGTATCAGCAGTAACGTTCCCGTGTGAGGTCCCATTTCCAAGTGTGGCAACATTATAGCCATTACGAATAATCAGGTTACGTTGGGTATCAGTATAAGATAAATTGAACGTGCTCGAGTTACTCTGAATAGAATAAGGCGAATTTGGAATGTAAACAACCAGCGGAGTCGGGCTAGTAGAGTTAGAAGCGTCACAACCAAAGAATGTTGGAGCACTATTAAGTCCCAAGTTGATAAACGTGTTTTGATCGGGGATGGATGGGAAGGCAATATTGCTCTGGATACTTTTGTCCATTGAGCGTTCATAGGTTGCCACTAGAGATGTACCGTTAGGCCAATTAAATTCTGTATCAGCACTAGAGTCAACGGCGAATATGACATCAACGTTCCGCTGGGGTTGAATCAGAGGATATAGAGGTATATTCTGGCCATCTTCTCCCCCATCTACAAGTGAAAATTCCATCGATTTAGCAGTTGGGTTCAATGCCGCATTATAGCCGAAGAATGGATTGGGTTGATATTGAGCAATATCATTGTTTTTGGCGCCAAGGCTTAAAACGGCATCATGAATAATGTTGGGGGCTCTTGTTTCATTTATGGCGAGTAAGATTTGGTTAAACAATGTCGATGATGTTCCCATTACAAAGCCGGCTTGGTCAAAACCTCGTACGCATTTTCCGCCTGGAGGGACAACTCCATTAGAAAAATTTGATCCAAGATACCTCATGGGAGCAAACCCATTCGTGGAGGCATCCCAACTACCTAATTCGTAGGGATTAAACTCCACAATAGTGCTATTCGTTGAGATGGTTTTCACGCCCGGCCTCCTGTTGTTGGCGATAATTAAGGGAAAAGGTGTAGAAGCATTTTTGAAACTTTCCTGCTGAGCAATGGATGAAAATGTATAGGAAGGACCTCCATCATCAGCATTGACTAGCTGATGTGATAAAGCACGACCCCAGTAATCAGTTATGCTAGTGTTAAATCCAGCGCGGTCTTTGGCCCTTACATCTGATAGGATAGTACGGAAATATTCGGCTGTAGTTAGAATCTGGATTGTTTGAGTCTCTGGACCTTCAAGAATTGAGTTCCCAAACTTCCATATGCTGGTATCTGGATTGCCGTCGCGAAGCTCTTGGACGGAAGAAAAGTTATTGATGTACATCGATCCCACGAGCCAGCTACCCCCAGAAAGCCCTGCTAAATATGTTGAGGCTTGTAGGAGACCACCAATATGACCTGTCTCCGTAGAATTAATTGTACGAATATCAGCAGCCGCAAGGAAGCCACCTCCATTCATTAAAGCTCTGTAACCTCCTCCTGAAGCGGCGATACCAATGTTTGGCAGGGCTTTAGGGTCGTCTTTGATTCTATTCATATAGGCAGGGGCATCGAAATCAGGTATTCCCATTCTGGATAGCCATGATACCATAGGGTCAAATATTTGCTTACGTCGGAGCTCCAGCCATGCTGCTTCATCTGGTGAAATACCTTCTGCATTTCGAATGGTTGGACGATTTTCTGGACAGTCAACAACAGCTGGAGCATAATCCTTCGAGGGTGAGTCAGGCAGTGCTCTTTTTATCTTGTGTGAGTATCGTTTTTCCTCTACATTATATTGAGGAGGGATATTCTTTGCAATAGCGGAGAAAACTTTTAACGTTCAGATATGAAAAGTAATATTTCTGACAGGAGCGCACCTTGTAGTAGGACTAGCCAGCAAGTTATAGACTTTGAACAAAAAAAAAATCCTACCATTATGAGTCTCAATTTAACTCTTCGTTACGTTCTAAAGACGATGCGGGATCAGGCTGGTAAACACTGGACGTCCAGGGCATCCAGAAATACTTGATAAAGTTCGATGGTCGTGAAATATTCTCAACTCAATATTGCTCGATTCTCTAACAAGAGAGGCGGCAGAGGTGTAAGATAATCTGAGATGAAGTATGGAATCCGGAGCCGTCTTTTTTAAAAAAAAGTGATATGTGAATCTTACTGTAAAAAGGAATCGTCCGCTGGGCATGAACGACATAAGCCATATTATCACAATAGATTTATATTTAAATTTCATTTAGCATACATAAGGATGGTATGCTTGCTGGCCAAGGCCAGGCTTAAGCTTCATCTTCGTTTCAGACATGGTCGTATTTCTCAGCATAGTCGTTCAATTCACGTTGACACCCTTATCATTCGAGGTTATGCGATTCGTTCCTCGAGGGTAAGCTGAAACGCTCCGTCTGATTCGCTCTCTAGCTCATCCTTTATCATGATTATGATTTGAACGATATGGTGTTGAGAAAGGTGCATGGCCCCAGTCTGACAAATAGTTTTTTGACACAAGCGAAGGGCTTTCTCTCGGGTTGACAACTTCGATCATAGTGGGTATGCTGATAGGATACGAATGGCAGAGGTTTCTATGGTGAGGTTGACTCTAAAGTTATGGTGGGACAAGAAAGTGCGTAGAATTGACTAACGGATAGACATAAAGGCGTGATGGAAAGATCCACACGCACGGAAGCTTTATCATTGGACGCATGGCCCACTTGGTAAAGATATTAATCCTATCTCCCAACAATGATCTAGATTTCGTACTCGTGTTAGGATTAATATATTAGACTAGAGAGCCGAATATTTCTAATTTGCGACTCGTCTTACTCCAAATTACAAGAATCGCAGTCAAACTCAGGTCTAGCTTGAGGATGCTGCGTAATCATGATGTTATTCTACGTTGTCTGAACATAGATCCATGCGGAGAATTCGGTTATTTTCTTTTTTGAAGTAGGGATCATGTAAGACTCTTGAACTGGCATGAGACGAATCGGTTGTCCGATTATCTGTAACATAATCTAGAGTGCAACCCAACTTTTCGCTCAACCAGAAAAATGTGTATAGTCATTGTTATTCTTTTACATTCTATGACTATTTGGGAGATTTCGATACTCTCTACTGTTGATTATGAATATCTATGCCTCAGGTAGTTTTTCCTCTTTTATGTCATCCTAATATCTCCCCTCAAATAGTATCACTTCTCGCAAGCCTTCCTTCAATTATACTGAAAGATAAAATTTACGAAGGTAAATCTCAGATAGCCGACTGGTCTCCCCTTATTTGACTTGCTCCTTGAGTAAACGTCAGGATGGAACTTCAGTTTTTACCAACGCATGCATTTTTGTTGGTTTTTATTAGGCTACATATGCCAGAGGATCCCTAAGTATCTTCTAAAATCGAATAGTTAGTTAATTACTGTGGTTGCCAAAAATTCTGCATCAGTTTAAAAGCAGACATGGGACACAGAAGTTATATTCGCGCCCCCTTGTCGCTTGGTGTACCGCTATCCAGTCATGCCATCTTTTGACTCGATGACCTAGGGAAACGCAGAGGATAATCAACATCTATCTCGCCGTCAGTGAACTTATTCTCCAGAAAACTATGCATTGTTTGTTTTCTGTCATTCCTCTGGCTATAGATCAATCTCTACGTGTAATTTTCATCTCGCAAAGTATGCGGCCAAATTTGATGTGGGCGACGTAGAATAATTTCGATTAAATGACAGGCATTACGTGTCGTGAGTTGTGTCCAATGCATTTCAGGCATGGTAACTGTGAAATGGATCCCGTGGGTTTGATCTCCGTTCGCTCAACAGACTAAATTGGACTGTCGTACAATGAGACAAATTCATACACTTCACGTCTGGCAGAAAGAGAAGGACGTTCGTCGAGAGGAGGCTAAATCTCGAGGCTGAAGTCTGAATTGAAAGTTACAGAGAACATTGCAATATCATTGTTTGGCATTGAAGACTAGCCGTTGTAAAAGGTGAAATCCCACAGCGGCTTGCTATCTTTTCCGTTACTCTCAACGTCAGTATGTCTCACATGTATGACATGTGAGAAAATGATGCCTGACTGCTAGCTATCCCCAGAAAACTGGAAACGGTCGTGGATAAGATATCAGGGGGAGGATCACTAGTTTGAAACCAGACTTATTCTTATTTTCTCAATAATTCAGTAATTCAAGCCTGTTTCTTTGCCTACAGGCCTACCTATGCTTCGGAGTCGTAAACATAATATCTCCATGTACAATATTTGATTCATGCTATATCTCGTCAGTATGTCAACTGGGGACATAGCTGCTACCGGGGTTGATACTTCGAATAACATGCATGTGGCAAAACCCTATCTTATCTTTCCGCCCGCATGTCGGCAATAAAAATGGTGCAGGCACACGGGACGTTCCCAACGCTTGACAGATGAGACCGCCGTTTGTAGCATCTGGTCGGCCGGGCAAGTCTAATTCGCGTCAAGCGTTGTCATTGTAGCTGTGGTGAACGGTTTGCTGGTGTATTTGTGTCGTATCAGAATTCTTTGACAACACCAATCAACAAGACAGGACAAGGAAATCAGCTGTCAGGGATAGATATAAATTATGAAAAGTATTAAGTGTGGCTCTTTACTGTGTGCACCCATTTTGAAAGCCTGCAACTCCAATTCCAGAAACTCAGGCACAAGTATGAACCTGCATCAAAAATGCCCTCACAAGGCAAGGGAACAAAATTATTTGACAGCTGTATCGCCTCAATCGTACTTTTACAGAGCCAAGTTCAGTTAAATTTCGCAATATTGAACAAGATGACCCAAGAGGCAATGATTCAAATTCCTCCACCACGTCAAATTTTCATTCCAAAAGAGATCGAATCCCACCCAAACCTCATCAAGTCTACAATGACGACCTGGTATATCCTCATCCCAATGACCACACCACTCGTCGACTTTCTCTGGCCTCAGCCGGTCACCAGATATACACCCACGCCGATATTTACATCCAATGGAGGAAACAATGGAAGATACAATGCGTGGCGCACAAATCTGGGGGACAGTTCTTTGGGATTGGCTTGAGAGGATTCAGGACAAGTTAACAAGATGATAGGAAGGATGGATACAGTCTCGACGGGCGTGGAATTTTGAAATTTGGAAAGGAGTTTTTACAAATTGAGCTTCGTGCGTGCCAAGACCTCGGTTGCGAGAGTCCAGGCGACAATAAAAACTGCCATGGCTGGATGATGCGGTGGTACATCGTCTTGGCCGGTCTGCCAAGTAGAGTCTGCATAGCTTGGACACATATCCCACTTGAGATAGTAGATCGCTGGTTCAAATCCGGCAAAACACAACCACTTTTCACGCGGCGCTGGTATACATGGATGACGAAGGCATGCTTGGATAACCAAAGGTTTCGAAATTCCCTTTGGTGGGTACTAACGGAGGAGGGTCGACTGTTTGTGTAAGCAAATATACCATATAGTGGTATTTGCAAATGAAATCCAGAGTGTGAGTGTCTCTAACGTCAAAAGAGTCATTCCACATGTATACACAGCACCGGTCATGTGTTGTAGCTAGATGGCGGAATACACATTAAATGATTTAGAAAAATCGTACTTTTATATTAAAACTCGGACATATGTATACCATAAAGTTTTTGTGTTAAAATTTCGTCACCAGCAATTTTGGTGTCATCATGGGCTACAAATGGACTCAAGCCTTGATTTCCAATGATCTATTTTTTAAACTTACTGCGCCAATGTATATGGCTCGAACACCAGCAAGGTGTTGGAAATAATGCTACTTGCATTTCTTTTTATCGTCCAAGGGGGACTATTCTCAAAATCTGTCAGTGATGTCTCCTACGAACCTCCAGCTTTCATTGAAGAGTCTGCAGAGCCGAGATTGAGTAACAAAGTCCTCACTTCGACGAGGGTTTCCAATCCCTCTTACCGTCTGTATCGTCTTTAACTCTCAACACATCCCCCTATCACCGTTATCATGACGCTAACCATCATCAGATCAGATGGCAGGGTCGGGGTCCTACTCATCACCAACCCTTGATCATGGAGGAAAAGCCATCCGATGAGTTTCCGGAGCGTACCCAGCACCTGATACGGAGATGGCGGATTGGATCAAGTCGGCCTCGATTGTTACAAAGAAGGGAGATGTAGATGAATATGCGCACCTCATGTGGTCCCGGTGTCTATGCCGCGCCTGGCTGGTGCTGCAGGTTGTTTGAGGCTTTCTACCGCGTACGCAGTTTCCATATCTAACTTTTTTTGGGGGGGGGTTAGAAGGTTCCGTAGAAAAGGTGGCCGTATTTCGCGGGTAATTACCGAGTTGAATGGCTATTCAAGGGAAATATATCAATAGTTTTTCAAGAAACACGAGAGGCAATGAGCACTGTACAAGATGTGGCCTGGGTCAGATATGAGCCCAATGTGCTAGATAGTCTATGACTGAAGTAGAACAATAAACACACACTTCATGGTTCTGTATCTGGATACTGTATAAGAAGTTAAGCTAGAGAAATGAATGAATTATTATTTTACTTTATTTCCCTATCTCAGTGTATGACCATGTAAGACATGTAGGTCCTCTACCTACAAGCCAAGGACACCTATGCCAGTAGTATATCCCTATATGTGTCTCCCATACAGCTCCCCTCAAATAGTACCACCCCTCACAAGTCCTTATTTAATTATATACTTAGCGAAGCCATTATCTCTTCATTATATTTCTTATCCAGCCAACGAAACGATGGACATTTGCGGGTGTCTAGCAGTCAGGAAAAATCGCAAAAACCTATTGATACGGACCACAACACCTTCCATCGTTGACTCGTTTTTAGTGACAGCCACACTCTTACAATCGAAGTCTTGGCAAACACAAAGCTTAATTTGTAGAACTTCTTTCAAAATTTCACCCCTCTCGAGATTGTAT